TCTCCAACTCCTCTGGGCTGCAGCATACTTGTCTGCCTTAGGCTGGTTCCATATGAGTCCGCAGCTTTCCTCAGCAGGTCTCTCATGACTCTGACATCTCCAACCCGTCAGGTTTTCTAACATAATCCAGGCTTCATCTTCACAGCTTCAAACAGTGCCCTCTCTTGGCCTCCATGCAGGGGCGTCCTGGCCCTTGCCTGATCTCAGTAGTGTTTCTTAGGCATGGAGGGAGATTCCACAACCCTATTCTTGTATCCTTGACTCTAAAGCCAAAAGGAGGAGGAGAAGGAGGAGGAGGAGGAGGAGGAAGAAGAAGAGGAGGAGGAGGAGGAAGAAGAGGAGGTAGAGGGAGAGGAGGAGGAGGAAGAGGAGGAGGAGGAGGAAGGGGAGGAGGAGGAGGAAGAAGAAGAGGAGGAGGAGGAAGCAGAGGAGGTAGAGGGAGAGGAGGAGGAGGAAGAGGAGGAGGAGGAGGTGGAGGAAGGGGAGGAGGAGGAGGAGGAGGAGGAGGAGGAGGAGGAGGAGGAGGAGGAGAATGAATAAGCAAGTGCCCTCAGAGGCTAGAAGAAGGAATGAATCCCCTGGAGCTTGAATTACAGGCAGATGTGGGTGTTGGGTCCTTGGGAACAGCACTGAGCACTCTTATTCACTGAACCCTCTCTCTAGCCACTGAACCGATGAAATTCTTCTTTGCTTCAGCCAATCTTCTGTCTTATAAGTGTACCTTTATCTAATAATCCACCCCTGCTTCCACTTCTATCTGCATGTCTCTTATCTAATTTTTTTGTTCCTGTCACAGAGCTGAGAGCCTCTCCTGAGGTGCCCACTAAACCCACACATGTACCATCAATACTGTAGATAAAAGACCTTAAAATGTATTTATTCCCCGGTCAGATGTGCCTAAGATTAAAGTGGTAGTACTTTTTAGGATTTTAATGCATATATTTAGGTTAAAAGCAGAGCTTAAAAATCTTATTATTAGTGCCTTATATAGCACCACATGAGACCACTCTTATTTCTGCAGAGTAAGGAAGTATGAGGGCTGGTTTTGTTATTCGTCATGATTTTATGGTAATGGAAGATTAAGCTGACTGGTTTAAAAAAAAAAAACAGAAACAGGAAAAAAATCAGGAAAACATCTTTCTGCTGTGCTGTGTTCTCTGTCTCTAGTCACTACTTCCTGAAAATGTATAAAAAAAAAATCTAGAGAGGGTAGTGGGGGCATTTAAGTAAATTGATGATGTGTTTATCTTTGTCAAGGAAACCAAACGGTTTGCCCACCACACAGAACTAATGTTCCGTGCCACATTGTCAATCTGTTCAAATGACAGAACTAGTTAATAATTCCCTTCTTCAGTATGCTGTCTTGAAGAGTTGTTTTTCTGAAAGAAAGTATATTCCTTATTTAGAGACGATCTTGTAAGCACACATAAAAGCAGGATATAAAGGAGCAAACTCTAGGCTTTTTGAAAACATGTCTTAGAAGACTAAAGTAATACAGTTCTCTGGAGGAGAATCAAGTTTAAATGATTTTCAGGTACATCTGCTTTCTCTCTCTCTCTCTCTCTCTCTCTCTCTCTCTCTCTCTCTCTCTCT